ATTAGATAAATTAATAATAAACCGACCCAGCTACTAAATGGTTCGATAAGACTTATCTCAAATACAATCGTTTTCTGTAATTGTTATGCCTTAAATTGATAATTTTTAGTTAAACAAATACTTAACTAATGAAATAAATACATAGATAAATGTATTTAATGAATTAAAGTATGTATAAAGTATTATATAAATTAATAATAAACCGAATCCGACCAAATTTAAATCTAAAACCACGATCGGCGGCGTAATGAAGTGTATCGTAAACCCGTTTTTTTTATAATTTAAAATGTAATGACAGAACTCCCAAAACAACAATACACATACATATTAGTACTATGGTGAATTGTAGTTGTATTAGGACCGTAATTATAGTTAATTAAGGAACCATTCATTGTCTTCGCTCTGTTATGTACGTCGTCGTTTAATCGACACGGCATATTTGGCTTGAATCTAGAAAAATTCAAACTCTAACCCTAAGGTAGACAGGCAGGGTAAATAAATGTGGGTGATCTCTCATAAAATTGTCTTCTAGGAATTATTTTTATATAGACTATCTTTTCTGTAGAGTTTAAGTGGACAAGCGCGGACGAAATAGAGCGCAAAATTTAAAATGAATTAAAAATTTTCATCAGACCGGAAGTAGGCATAACCTAGGCGCCATGTTTCCGTCGTACAAGTTTTCACCGTTGCAGTCACCGTTTCAATCGCTCTTCGTGTGGACGTGTATTATTTCTAGTCATGTGTTGTGTAGATGATTCGCTTAAGGTAGGTGTTCGGACTTATTTCTTTAATATTAATTAAACCGTATTTGCCTTGTCGGCCTTAAAATAAAGCTATTTTTTTTTCATCGCAATCGAAGTGTTAGATCTAGAATCTAGTTCCCGCCTCCGCTTCGCTAATTCGACTTAATGTAACTATGACACAACTATTAAATCTAGAGTCTCTATTTTAATTAAATAATTAGGAATTCTATCTCTAGATGATATCTAATCTATTCCCACACGTGTGTGCAAGTAGGATTTAACGTCAGAACAGGTGTGGTGGTCTAGGCGTCGCTATTTTTGACGGTAGGAATTTTTTTTTTAAATTCGTAAAATTTTATATAGACTTTATATAGCAATTTACTAAGACCGACCCTAACGCCCAGTAAATATTTAATTACCACATTGTTATGGACACGGTGTATTAGGTAGGGCCGAGGGCTATCCATAGGTACCAATTTTTAAATTTTGTGACAATTAGGAGCCGAGTTATAAAATAAATTTAAAATACTGGTTCTGGTCTTAGACTTTATATAGCAATTTACTAAGACCGACCTTAATACCCATTAATTATTTAATTAGCGCATAGTTATGGACATCCTGTATTAGGTTGGGCCCAGGGCTATCCGTAGGTACCAAGTTTATAATTTTGTGACGATTATTAGTCGAGTTATAAAATAAATAAAAAAAACTGGTTCTGGTTTGCACTACATTTCTTTCTTCTTTAACGGCGGACTCCCGGTCCAGCCCCATGGGTTACCCGTGAGCCGGGGCCTCGTTAGCCTGGACGGCTCCGATGTGACCGCGGATTGTTGTGGCCCGCCTCAGCCCGAGTCGAGATCACCCTTCCGATCGAAGGTGGACGCCATAGGGCGCCCGGGATAGCCCGGGGCGCTGTTCGTCACCCGAGCGCAGGGGCGCCGGGAGACGCCCCCGGTGAAGTTTGGCGGGTGATTCTGGTAGAGCTCCCCACCCCGATCGCAGGACACCCCTCGCCGCCCGCCCAGGTGTCGAGGTGGCCGCGGGGGAACTCGGGGCGTTTTGGCTCCCCCTTGTGCCGGAGCGGCGCCCTCGGTCCCAGAACGCCCCTGGCGGGTGATTCGCATGCCCCCTGGGGTGGGGAACGCGGGTGGGTGGTCGTAAAGCGTGTAACCGCAGTGGGGGCGGCCCCTTAGTCGGGGGCGCCAAAGTTGGCACCCCACCTGGGGCGCCCCCCGGAAGTGTGGCGCCCGCGCGAGTGAGCCCCGTAGATGCGCCCCGACACCCCCGCGCCGCCCCCCGGGTCGCGGCACCCCCGGCGCCCTCCGTGCGGGCTCCCCTCATGGGGCGGCACCCCGGTCCTCCCCGAGACTATGTACCCGATTTTTCGGTTTAACACTAGAGGTATGGGCAGAAATACGGCGGTTAAAACGGTCTGTATCTACTATTGTGGAGGTGAGTGTCGGTGAAGCCTCTATGTGACGCTAGGATCCGCGCTCCCTCGCAGCCAGCGACATGTGCCCGATCTGACCGTGCGTGGCTCAGTCTCCCGACTAGCTTCCCGGTAAAATGCGGGCTCGGCGCGCAGGTCGCGCCAGTGAAGGTAAAAGTACGTGTCCGTAGCGTGAAGCCAGCGGCGACGCGCAGTGCTAACGCAACCAAGCAGTATTGGTGGCTCGATAAAAGTCTCGCACTGGCCCAGCCCTCGGAACGGGCGACGGGTCTGCAAAACGCAGTCGGCTCGATGCAAATCGAGAGAT